GGTTGGAATACTTTTTTTTCTTAAAAAAATTAATTAAAAATTAAATCGCAATTTACATTTCAATAGCTATACTTACATCAGATAAGATAAAATATTTTTTTACTAAAATATTGCCCAATTTTCGATCAATATTAAAACAAACATAATTTTTAAATTTTCATTGAAATCCTATATCCTACTATTTCTTCTATGTAAATATTAATCAAATAATTTTATTAAAATTTGATGAATTGAAAACTTTGATAGCTTATATTTTTCAAATCATACAAAAAATTTGTTTATCAAAAAGTGATAATATAAATATGAGAGTAGAGAGACATACAAAAAAAAAAAAGTATTAAGATAAGAAAAGAAATCCAATTAATATTGTATGCAATAAGTGATAGCTATGATATTATAGATTACATGATTGTATATGATAGAATTTACTTCGAGATTCACTTTCCAATTGAGTTAGACGCGCTTCGTTACTTCGTTAATTTAATTGCAGTTGAGATGTCGTCTCTTCAACTGCCTCCAGTTTATGATGGCTATCGATGGCATCCCTGGAAAGAATGGCTCTGTGAGTCATTAAGCTAGATATAATATGGGAATGGTGTTGGACAACTGAGCCGCTATTCGTAAGAAGATCGCCCGCAGCTTTAATTCCACTGTGGACTAAATCTGGGTAAACGAATTATTGTTCGTTCACCCATTTGTCATATAAAATATAAAATAATGAAAACTGTAATTTCAAAATTGTGCAGCACAGGGGATATAGAGATCAAAAAATCTTCCAGAATTTTATTATATACAGGGAATTTCCGGAATCTTTGTAAAAGGCGACAAACACTTCTAGGAACTACACAAAAATTTATCTTGGAAATTTTATTCAAGATTGTAAGGCTGTATATGATATCTAGCCCAATTTTCCGGATGGTAATGAGTTAAAAAAACCTTACCCATCAAATGAAAAGATTCGCTTCCGTTAGTACAGATGTAGAAGCGAAGTTGATATCAATTAGCTTAATTGATGCCAGTTTCAGCACATCCCCGCTATGACTAGTTAACTTGACTGCTCGTAATTTATTCAGTTCAGTTATTAATATTGTCAAGCTAACTTGTTAGTTCACTCTCCAATCTCTTCGAATTTTAAATCACTTATGGTTATTCCCTCTACCACTTATCCTGATTGAAGTTATTCCTTTTTTTAAATATCGAAGGTATTCGAAACCACTTGTATCTGACATTTCCCGAATGTTTTGGAAATGCATATAACGTCCACCATACTCCAAAAAAAAAGTGTAAGAAATGAACTTCTCTAGCTGTTTGCTCGAACTAAGAACACATTATTTACATTCTGTAACAGAGATCCGAAACCAAAAGAATTGTCGACTCCCTTATTAATAGCTTCCGTATTGACAGTGATTGGCAATGAAAATCAAAGTACTTCATGAAGCAAGTAAAATTTTTTGCATTTAGCAGCAGCCGCCAAATTTGTGAGAACGACAGAGGAAAGTCAAAAAATTCCCAAGCGTTTCACTTGAAATTCAATGCCCTGATCTTTATTACAAAAACCCCATAATTTATATTTTCATAAGAAAACTTCACTACTTCAACGGAAAAAAAATTATTTATTTACATAAATAGTTCATTCATACTGAATGCACAGGTTAGATATAAACCAATATATATGTATACGGTTCACAATGTTAAAAGGAATCATATTTCGAGATAAAACGAAGAGGGAAAAAAAAGAAAAAACACAGAAGTCGCAAACAATGATTTTCTACAGTGTAAACCAAATTAAATGAACTATTATTTCAGTTTTTTTCTGAAAAAAAACAGCATATCACAGCGAAAGGCACAAATAAGGCATAGTCAGGTAGATGCATTCAGCGGGAAAAAAAAACTTAACAAAAACGTCGATAGGAAAACAACCAAAATTTACATGAACAGCTTTTGATTCTCGATAGTAACAGTAAGCAGTGCTCAAACTAATCACATTTATGAAAGCTGATCTGCAAAAATTTGCAGAAGTGAAAGAGATTTCTAAAAATTTTCGTATTCACGGGTACATAGATGAAGTCCAGAAGATTTGGGAGATGAGATAGTACGAGAGAAAGTGGCCGAAATGGATTGAAAATAAAAAGTATTTAAATAAGCTTCATAATTAATGATGGGAAACATGAAAACATAACATTCGCACAGAAACTTAAAAACTGAAGATTAAACACTTGAAACAAATATGATGCATGCAGTCTATTCCTCACGTTAATTTTCCATAAACCAGCTGCTATACAATTCACTGCGTCGTCTGAAACTCTTTCATCAAATATTTAATTTTTCAATTTTCATTCAATATATTATGAACAGTGTGAACTATAGTTGATGAACAGTGGCATATTTGAGTTTCGCTATTACATCTCGTTTCAGATTTCGATAAACTTATGTTTTCAAAGGAAGCAAGAATTTTTCGCAATCTGTTTATTCCTAGAAAATATCAAGGTTTGGGAAAAAGACGTAACTTACTGTTAACTGGCTAAGATAAAATTGCCTTTTCATTTCTATGCCTTTTTGCGGAAAAGGATTCAAATCGTTAAAAGCAACCTGAAATTAAATTAAAAGCAACCTGAAACTGAAATTAATGAAATTACATCGTAGCGGTGTTGTGCTATAACTTATCCCACTTTTTATAGTGAACTTATGTCAGCAAAAACAAAATGGATTGAGAAAGCTTTAAAACAAAAGGACACATTATATTGATTCTTACCCTGTGATTTCCATTATAATGAGATCACTGCTATAAATTTGTTTCTCAATAAAACCAACAACTTTCTATCTGGATGATCTTATATATGTAGACGACATAATGAAAACTTTTACCTGTGCCAGTGTTTTGAAATTGGGAACATGTTGCGCTACTCTACTCAGTGAAGCATGCACAGCTCCAACAGATTTACACTCTAACACTGAGGTCTCAGCAAGTTTCAACACACCAAGAGCAAATCGGAAAAGAACCTATAGAGAATTCATGCAAATATCCAAGTAAGGATTTTACTTTTTCACAAATAAAAATTCTTTAATCTATGTAACTTCTGCTAATTTTTGCAAATCTCCAAAAGAAAAGCACCAGGAAGGAATTATGACATAATGATCCCAGTATGAGCAGAACAAATGATTAGAACAAAGAGTGCACTTTCTAATTTGCTAAATATTTAGGAAGACATATATCCATGACTGAAATGTTTTTCCCAGATAATTGTTTCGTGCTCACCTTATTCCCTTCATAAAGGAAAACGTCGAACAAATTCAAATAAATAGTATGCGGAAACACGTCAACAAAACATGTAAGAAACCAACTAAGGGTAAAAGCTGAGAGGTCCACTTCAAACTTGCGCAAATGGGATGACAACTTCGGGAGTTTTTCACCGACCAGATCACGTAACACCTAAAACAACAAATAGACTCCTCAAAAGTTAGTATCAGTTATAAACAACAACATATCTATTTCTAACCATAGATCTCATTCATAACTTACATTCGCTTCATTACTCCATAAATACTACAGCTGTAAAAAAAGCATCTCAGATGAAATGCGCAAGTTATCTTACAATCATAGTGGTGCCCAATTAAAAGATTCTTCAACAATATATACGAATATGCACAAATTTATTTAAACCTTATTTGAAAACAAAGTTTCTTGTAAATATTCAACTGGCAGGCAGAAAAAATAGTACCTTTTGATCAGCAATGGCACAAAGTAAAGTAGAAGTATAATATGCAGCAGGCTGGAGATGCTCGACGCAAGCTACTAAAAACCAAAAAGCGTCAGATTCTTCAAGAAACAATAGAGCAATGGCAGCCAGGCGATTTAGTCCCTGAAATTAGGAACTACACCGATAATTCAAAGCTATTCTACCAAATACAATCACATAAAGGAATTAAAAAATAGTAGAAAACTTAGGTCTACCAATGTTTTCGATCTAAACTTCGATCGACAGGACTACTGATAAAATTTCAAATTATCGATAAAGTCGATGATCTTTCTTAAATATTTTGTGATTCAATATTCTTTCGGATAAAAACAACAGAAGGAAGTTATAACTGCAGAAATGAGCTAGGACCAGATATAAACGGATGAAGAATATAAATGAAAACTACAATAATAAACTGAAGTGGCAATAGCCAACCTGGCAATACCCCACAGACTTATTGTGAAAACGATATGCACAGAGTACGCGACGTAAAACAACAATTTTCTCTGATGTTGGTTCATCGAAAAACCTGTTTGTAGGTAAAGTTCGAGTCAAATCCAAATCTATCTGCAATAATCCCATTCATAAATGCGCGTTTGCGTTTTTTCATAAATGTTCAACTGAACACTTATGCAAATTAGAATGCGTCAGAGACACTGAAATGAACAAAACACTGCCTATAGAAGGTTTACTGCAATGCAAACCTGTTTCAAAGCACTATCATTTTCGACAGTATGAATGCTAACAGTATTCACTTTCCGAAGAAGTGTCTCATAATAACCATTGCCGAGATCGGCTTTTTCATCACCCACGACGTAATTAACAAGGCTAGAAAAGATTCGTTAGAACATAAAGTTTTAAAGACAATTAATTTATAGCTTTTTGTGAACTCTTATTACATATCACAAAGGGACACGAATAAGCATCCTGAGACTCGATAAAATCTGCAAAAGAAAAAAAAAGTGAAAACCAAAGATGAATGAATTAAAGGTAAGGTCATGAAATAACCTTTCCAACCGAAATCCTATAAACGAAGTGAAAACAGAAATCTAAGATGGAAACGCACAAACATAAAGAAAGAAGACGAAAACAATCAAAAGAACATAATCTTTGCAAGCCTAATACTACAACACACTCCTCTAGCATTGCGAAAAAACTGTAACTTGTCATAACCAGTAGTCTTTCCTATACATTTCAAATTCTCAGCATGCAGAAATTACTAACAAACTGAAAAAAAAACCTTTTCCAGACTCTTGGTCGATATGTTCTTGGTATACCCATTCTCACCAAATTCTTTAGCTCATTAGTGGGTTTCAGAGGACGTACTGCAGAATTCACCAGGAAACTATCCCATTTTTGTAACCAGTCTATGTATTGTGGATTCTGCTCCTGAATGCATCCGTAAACAATGAAAATTTCAGAGTAAATGATAAACTTTGATAAATATAAATCTGTTCAGAAAAGTTGAATTCTGAGGTATTCAAATTCACACCAATACTTCGGAAAAAATTTGCATAACTCACCATTTCCTTCTGAACAATGATCTCGTCACTTATACTTTTTAATTCAGCAGCAACTTCAAACATATCAGTGGGTCGCAATTGATGACGCTTTCTGTCGTCATTCAAATAAAATCCAAGAGAGTCAGTAAGTCTCGCTGTAACATATCCAGTTAACAGTTACAATCTTCAGCAAAATTCCATTCATTAAATGAAAAGCTTAAAAAATGATAAAAACGAAAAGTATATTTCTGATTCTGATCTTACAGTAGAAGATTTTGGAAAGTAACACAATTCATAAACACTATTCTTAATACTGTCCTACTAAACAAAGAAAACTTTATTCTTAACACAATTCATAAACACTATTCTTAATACTGTCCTACTAAACAAAGAAAACTTTATTCTTACTTTCTACTTTATCGTTGTTTAACGTTCTTTTGTTTGCAGTCCAATTTGTTTCGTCAATCAAAGCCTCAATAACTCCTGGTTCCAGAACTGGAATTTTCTTTCAAGATTAAATTTCACTAAGTCAAACAATTTAAATCTTTCACTTCCATACAAAAAGGCTACCTTCTACTACATGAGGTTTTTTTGCTTGCGGCAGTTATTGGTCAGGATAATCAGCAAAGGAATTTTCACGAAAAACAAGGAAAAAATTCAAAGGACCGCAGCAAGATGAAAGGAAAAAACTAAAAATAAACGAAGAAATGGATACAAATTGAAAAATAACTTGTCAATTCAAGAATAATTGAATTATCAAAAAAAAATCAAGAAATCAATTGCCAAACCTTTACTGTCAGTTTTCGATGCCTTGAAATGGTTCAGTACCATGATGTACCGACTTTTAAGTTGATAATAGCAAGCTTCAATGTCAAAGTTCTGTCGAGTAATTCGACGCTCTCTGTCTTCCAAATTTTGCACAAGTTTTTGAAGCTCTGATATATGAAAAAGTAGTAAAAAAGAGACATGGATTTCTGGAAAGAAATCATATTGTCTATTCATTTCGAAAAAATCTTACCGAGAACCTCTTGATTCAAGAACATGTTCTGGTTTCGATATCCCATAACAAGATCTCGCATTTCTGTTACATCATTGACAGCTGCCTCGTCAAACACCCGTTGCGCATTTTCATCAATTGAACTACTACCAAAGTCGACTAATATTCCTTCAGGCACTTCAACTAAGCAATGGCTTATTCAGTGTCTCAGATGCTCCGAATTTAAACACCATTCATGAACGGCCAAATGAGCCACATACAACGTCCAGTAAACAAAGCAATATGATGAAAGGTTAATACATTCTTAAGAAACTTGAGAGATCGATATTACGCTTATCTTGTTTTACCTAAGCTAACGTATAACGTAGGAACATTTCGGATTTTTGGATATCTATTGATTCATTAATTTGGATGAACAAAGGAAAAAATCTTCAACAGAGAGAAAAGAACGCACCATCATCAAGCAACGCATCTGAGCGACCCAAAACATCACTTCCTTCCTGCTCACTGTAAATTTTCATTATAAGCTCCTCCTTTGAACGGACCGACTCGCGAAATGCATTAATTTCAACACTAAGTTCTTCAATTTTTTGTTCATATTGCCTGCAAATAGGAAATAATGCACTAACATGACGTGTATTTGTAAAACTGACGTGACAGAAAAACAAATAATAATGTTTACTTATTTTGTTCTTTTAAAATACGAATTTCACGACTGTAAGATGCTGCATTTAGTTGCAATGCTGTGAGCTCGCTTTCTTTTTCCAAAATCATACTGACTCTTTCCTGAGGACTTTTCTGCTCTTCCATCCGTTTTCTGAAATGACCATTCCTGCATTGAATACACAAAGCTGTGATGAGACGGCATTTTACAGACCGAATAAGACGTAACGGCAAACACGTACATCAATTCTATTTGACGATTTGATTTGAGCAAACTCTGTCGTAGAATTGTAACCAAATCTTGATTTGCTCCTATTTCGTCCGTAAGTTCATAACAACGATCTTTAAGCTCATTTACAATACCAAGTAACTGCAACAACAATGCATCGTTAAAATTTTCTATTTTTCTATTTCTTTTAGAAAATCTGTTACAGACGCCTCACTATAGTTTAGTGATGACTCCTCAGCTAAATGTTTCATATGTTACTGCCGCATCAGAAAAATAATTTCTGTATTTTGAGCGTAAATTAAAACGAAGTAACAGATGAAATTAAAAGAAACTTACAGTTTTGCAGTTTTCGCAAGGCGGTCGCAGTGATGTAGAAAGCCTGAAAAAATATATGTTAAAATGCGTAGGCATCATTATCAAATATGTTTATTTTGAATCTATAACTTCCAGCTTGAAAGCCAAAAGTCATTGTTCTTCTCCGCTCCTTCTCGTTTGTTTTTCTTCTTTCTTTCTAGAAGGAAAATATCGAAATTCCGAGAGTAATGTTGTATGTTGACTGCCTGGATGAGAAACCGAATTCTGAACTATTTAAAACGAATGTCCTGTCCTGGATGAGAAACCGAATTCTGAACTATTTAAAACGAATGTCCTGTTTACTTTACTCCATATTAGATTAGATTCAAAATATTGCTCAATAATGCAAGGAG